GCACTGTACACAGAAGTCACACTAGACTTCTAGATGGTTGCCATCATAGACCATCATAGCAAAGTCGCGCAAATTGCAATCATCGCATTACAGAGCCCATGCTTATTGAACGTGTACTTTCCAGCATTTCCAGTTCAAAGGTTTCGGCGTCGTAGTAAGCAACAAGAAAGCACGAGACCAGAAGCTTAGCCAAAACTGTGCGGTCTTTGGTTGTCTTCTTCGTGGACCTTTCCGCAGAACAACTTCGTGTATTTGTAGCCTCCTTCCAGACACGCATGCAGCGCTCTCATCAGCAGCATGGGTGTTGTGATTTCGCACGAGCCACCTATGTACATCTTGTGGACGTTGGCTGTTATTGGCGGTCCCTGGAAACAGTGTCTCACTCAGTTCACTGCTGTGATGTCCCGGAACTTGAACGGGTGCGGTCCAGGGCTTATGACTTGGTTTAGGGGGGTCTTCCGTTGTTTTGGCTTTCCAGTTGTGCGAAGCCAGGTAGAGTTGTACTACAAGCGAGCACAATCCAGCCAGGAACCGAAACGAGGCCGTACTAGAGGTGTACTACAAGCGAGCACAATCCAGCCAGGAGCCGCAACGAGGCATTTCCAGTACTAAAGTTGCACTACAAGCAAGCACAATCCAGCCGGAGCCGAAACGAGTCATTTCCAGTACCAAATTGGTATCACAAGCAAGCACAATCCAGCCAGCCGAACGTAACCTATTCCGCAACTAGACGCCTCGATTGTAACTAAGACGACAAGATCCAATACATGTGAAATGATTGTATTTACCAAGGTGACGCCCCTCGCGGGACGCCTTATGCATATGCGGGACGCCTTAAGTCATGCACCCTGTAGTCTTCGGGCGACTTGATCTCTAAACCGTCACTCGCCAAGCTGCGTAGAGCACCGCGAAGAGCAATGCGAATGACAGAAACAAAGTACCTGGACACGCTAAGGCGCATGGAAACGTCACTACTTCGAAACAGCACCCTATCTTTGGGTCATGGATACTACAGCAGTAACTGCGGTCATTAATGCTTACCACTATTTTGGATATCAATCCTCCAAAATTCTCGTGGCATTAGCATCATCTTCGTCTTCTTCTTACGATGGCGAATATGGTTCTGACCACGGAGAATACCGTTGTCAGTATTTGTACAAGCAGGAGTAGCAGTAGCCGTCGTGGAATAAGTAGCAGTAGTAGTCATGGTGGCAGTAGTAGGAGAAGCAGAAGCAGCAGCAGCAGCAGTAGGAGTGGAGTGGACGTCGTCGTAGCAGCAGCTGTGGTAGTCGTAGTGGTAGTGGTGGTCGTTGTCGCAGTATAGCAGCAGCAGCAGCAGTTGGAGCTTCAGCATTACGTTCGTCCTGTTGTTCTTATGTGCTCACGTCGTGTAGAGTCGGGGTCAGTCTGCTCCTGCCGTAGCAGCTTGTCACTCGGAACCAAACGCCGAGCTGCGAAACCCACCGACGAGGCCCTTCACCATCAAGCGGAGCTCCTGCTTTCTTTAGTTCTGCTTCGTGTGATGGCAGTTGTGGTGGTTGTATGTGGGGATATCCCTGCATGGGGGTGAGCGTAGACATTCAGGTTGAATCCATCTGTCTTTCGAACGGGTGCCGCGGTTTGCAGGAGTAGCGTCAGCTAACTTGGCATGATCGCAGTCTGCGGCTTTCCTGCCAAGCTACTATATGGAAACCATTTCTTACATCCCCTCTGCGAAAGAAGCACATGCAGCATATGAGAGGTATCATGCCCCGAACGGCAACCGTGCCACAACTTTGAGACAAGCGGACCACGCACCGACGCAAATGGAATCAAATGGATGTGCGCCTTCATGTATTTCAGCCGGAAGACTTTGACCTACGGCTTCGTGTTGGCCGTAGAAGGATGGGACTAGTGTGCGTGCTAGTGAATTTTCTGACAAGCCGGTCGAGAAGGTCTGAATCCCGAGGCCGCCTTTTGATGTTGGACTTTCCCTGGTTCAGGTTCTTCGAGTTTGAGGGAGTAAACCTATCAGTATTCCCAGCGTAGACACTGCCTGCGCAACTGAGGCGTCGACAACTCGCACCAGGCGAATGAGGCGACAAAATCTGAGAAGCGAGGCTCCGAAAAAGTCCTTGGGCAACGAGGGATTGTGGGCTTGGGACCAAGGGAGACGGAGCCAAATGATACTACTTTCCCCGTGCTCCTAGCGAGACGATGCAATCGGCCAACTCGCATACATTGAAGGTCTGTCTGTCGCTGTGTATGTGTATATACGTATGTATGTATGTATGTATGTATGTATGTATGTATATATACATACATACATATATGCCTATGTATATAAAGGAATCAGTACCCATGTATGAACTTCAATGAACAGTTGAATGAATGAAGGTACTGCATAATGGCTGCATCTATGCGTACAGAAAGGAATACCTATATCTTTGTATCTATATATGCATACAGAAGTAGTTGTATATGTGCATGTATATATACATATATATGCATGTATTTATATCTCTGTAAATGCACCTATGTATGTAGATATTAATACAACTATGTGTGTGCATATATCTATATATATATATATATGTAACATGTATATGCCTATGCATGCAAAATATGGAAAATAAAATACTTGCGCACACACTGTTTGGACGACATGTTAATACACATAATGTCGAAGGCAGTTGTGCAAGCACCAGGTTATAGCCGCCTGCAGAGGTCACATGTATAGAAAGGCTTCTGCCGAAGATGGTTCCTAATCCAACCCAGACCGGTCTGTTTGCAGGAACTCTGACATGTATGCAGGTGCTCTGTAAGAAGGCCGTGCTCATAAGAAAACCGTTGATGGGGACGACGACAGTGAACTGCAGGACATGGCACTCTCCAAATCGTGCCTATTCCGTACTCAATGATAACCGGGCCAGCTGGTCATTATGAGTGCTGTCATTGAGTCCGTATCCTTGGCATGGAGACATGAGCTTACTCATGTTCAGCCCCAGGTTCAGATTGTGTCTGCACCGCAACTTCCACCACGATGTCGGTAAGACCGGTGAGTAGAAGGAACAGGTCCTCAGCTTGTGACAAGGTCATGGAGGTGTCGCACATCAGGCCGCTCACGCACAACATCCCGAAACGCAAATTCAATCATCTAAACCACCAAGGTGATGCAGTTCCTTGTCCGGGAAAGAGGTTGTGTGTCTTGTGAATGATCTTTGTGTTCCGGTGAAAGCTTTACCTTTTCGCGCAGAAGTGCATCTTTGCATGAAAATCTCTCAGTGCATTTCTGAAATCCAGCCCTTCGTAGGCCTATTCGGCGAAGATCGACAAACCTGCCAAGGCAAGGAACGAATAAATCTTTAGCCAAGCGGCGAAGTAATTCCAGAGGTAGTCTGTGCCACAGAAGTAGTTCTGCAGGGATTGCCGGATTCATCACTGGGTTGTCTCTGTTCCAACCGGTTGAACTGGACACTGCGCACTACATCAGGAATCAGAAGGAGCTCTCTGGAGGGAGCCTCAAACGGAGCATGTATGCCCTCCCGTCCTTCCATCCGGATAGGTGTACCCGGAATGCACATTCAACGACCAGAACCACAGCAAACACCACCTGGCATCGTCGTACGATTCCCGACACTTACATGCGCGAAAAGGGGACGCCATAGACTATGTCCGGCAGCGAGCACAACGGTTACAAGACAGCTTTGGGGACCGGAATCGATGCCCAAGACAATGCTGGTTATTGGTGGGATCCAGAAACTCAGACATGGATGGGGCTGGGTTTACGGTTACGGATGCTGTGACTCGCATTTATCAAGACTGCTGGCTTGGAGGCTCACCATTATGTTAAGCACGCTGGCCTCGAGGTAAATCCATCCACCCCAGTCCTGGATCATCAACGCACGAGGATCACATGTCAAAGGTTCAGTAGACATTGTGCAGGGCAGTGGCCATTTTTGGCCTTTTCGCAGGATCGCGGACGACACCATTTCGCTCCCACCTTCAAGCCTTTCCGTTCTCACAGCACGTGCAACTGACAACAACCACTGGAATACGACCTGTGATCTCGAATCCGCACCGGTAACGAACCATCGAAACCCTTCACCCGCACACTCTGAAGCTGAAGGCTTGATACAGCCTTTTGGGACGGTCCTCATACAAAGGATCTGTCTGGAAGCCAATCATGATACCATTTGCCTCAAAGCAACATCGGCAGTAAGGTAAAAGTGAGGCATCGAGACATCTCTCTGAACCTCTGCGAACACAGACCGTACTGCCAAGCTTCTGGGCGCCTGCCCGAAAATCTCAACCCGGTGACACGCTGGAATGGCTGAGACACGATGATCAGCACCGCAACGAAGGGTTCGATGAAGATCAAGGGATGGATCTTCTCCTTAGTGTGTACAATGTATATGGCGCGGAGGTTCAAGTTGTAGTAGAGCGTCGCACATGACTCACATCAGATTCACGCTCGTTGCCGTCCTACTCGTCATTCTCATCCTCGTCATCAGCATTGTCATCGCCGAAGTCATCCGTAGTTATCCATGCTGCTGCCAACCCTCGTACTTTCCTTATTCCTGAGCTCGCTGGCATGTCTATCTAAACAACCATAACTATGCACCAGCGTCACATCATCAGCAACATCAAGATGATCCTGATCGCGATTCTTATCGTCAACATCACTGCGCCCCATGGTCTGCTTTGTCAACAAGTGGCCGGCGGCGCCGCCAAGTCGTTGATGCGAACCTAAGCTTCTCAAGTTTTTGCCGAGCAGGGTACCAAATACACTCCGCCGGCAACGGGCGCTTGAAGGCGAACCGAATGTAGATCGAGTCCCCTATGGCAAGTTATCATACTCACCCTGTCTTGTGCTTCACACTTGTGGCTTAGGAATTAACCCATCTCAACCCAAAACCTTAATCACGGGGAGTGCATTGTCGTGCTATGCAAGGCTAGCAGCAAAGGTGAGCTCGGCCACAAGCCGATTCGTGTCCCCTGCCAACAGGATCTCCTTCATGGCCTGTCGCGCGAGCGCTCGGCACGGTTCATAGGGTTTCGGGGCTTAGGTCCCTCCCATTCTCGAAATCCGCCAGCGTCCATCCGAAAGACTGTTGCGAGCAAAGCTGTGAGCATGGCTTACAACTCGATGCTCGCGTTTGGACAACTCGGAATACTTTGCTAGAACTGCCTTGGAATGCTGCTTTGGAGTATCAGAACCGTCATCGCAAGCCCCACTCCTCTCGATCCCAAACTCCAATCACATCACAGCTTCGAAGCCACGAAGAGCACAAGCGATTGCTCACTCTTTCAGTATCTCCTACCACGGCCGTCCACCTGTCAACCCTCTCTGCCTGAAACTGTGCCATCATCGCATGGCCGAAGACTTTTTTCGGCAACTCCTTGTCCCTTGCGTTCAGAGTTCAATGTTTTCAAAAGTTTTGAGTTCGGGTTCTTGTGGCTTTCTCCAGCATGTTCACTTCTCAACCACTCTCCCCACTGCTCACCCTACTCCTCAGGTACGTCAAGATGAGGAGTGAGAAGAGTGGGAAGGGTGAGGAGGGTAAGTGAGTAGGGTGAGTGAGGAGAGTGAGGAGGGTGAGCAGGGTGAGGAGAGTGAGGAGGGCGAATGAGGAGAGTGAGGAGGGTGAGGAGGGTGAGCAGGGTGAGGAGAGTGAGGAGGGTGAGTGAGGAGCGTGAGTGAGGAGAGTGCGGAGGGTGAGCAGGGTGAGGAGAGTGAGGAGTGAGGAGGGTGAGTGAGGAGAGTGAGGAGGGTGAGCAGGGTGAGGAGAGTGAGGAGGGTGAGTGAGGAGAGTGAGGAGGGTGAGTGAGTGTAAGTGAGGAGTGAGAAGAGTGAAGAGGGTGACGAGGGTGAGCAGGGTGAGGAGAGTGAGGAGGGTGAGTGAGGAGGGTGAGGAGGGTGAGCAGGGTGAGGAGAGTGAGGAGAGTGAGGAGGGTGAGTGAGGAAGGTGAGCAACTCCTTGTCCCTGAGGCAGGCTGCTGTCAGCAAGGCTCAGGCTGTCTACAGCAGTTGGCTCCCTCCAACATACTCTGTCAGTTCATATGCGCGATATGAGGAGTTACAGGCAACATCAGGCAACTGCCTATGTGATTCCTACTACTGACACCAGCTAGCCAGTCAATTGCACCCCGGACAGAAACACAACACGTAGGCACATGAATACGCTAGTGTACGTGAATGCACGTGTGTTGGTATGTGTGACATGTTGTATGTATGAAATGTTTTATGCATGCACGCATGTATGTGGGTAAGCAGGCAGGTAGGTAAGTATAGACAGATCGACCCGTTGAGGGACGTATAGACAGGTGGATGGATAGATAGGTAGATAGACAGACAGACAGCCAGACAGATAGACAGGTACATAGCTAGACAGTTAGAAGCTAGATAACCGGATGGCTGGATAACCAGGTAGATAGATGGACAGACAGATAGACGGATAGACAAATGATTAGAATCGATCGATGGCAAACTAGACATAAGGAAAGACAAGTAGACAGATAGAGATGCAGTAGCAAGCTCGATCATCGAAGTTTGCTGTCAGGTTTACATGAGAATCACAAACCGAAGCTGTGACCACTGTGGCTCCTTTAGTTCGACTAGTAGTGCTAAAAACCATAGCAACACCGCCACCACGAGAAACATGAGCATCACCACCAACACTAAGTCATCTACGTCTACGACTATCGCACGTACTGCTACGACTCCTGCCCCTCCTCCTGCTGCTGTTGGTACGGAAAACTACGACTACGTACTGCGACAAAGCAACAACACTGCTGGCAGGAGCAAGTATCTCAAAGTCGCGGCAGCAGAAACATCACTGTTAATGCCTTCTTTCTCGTGCCGCTGCTGGTCAGTAATAATTGTACCAGTTCGGCCTTATCGATGCTGCTGCTGCTGTTGCTATTTGCGACTAACTCCTACGTATTGTCACGTGTAGCTTGTAGCGACCACAGTCGTCGTCGTCGTCGTCGTCGTCGTCGTCGTCATATTCCAGTGATTTCCGAAAGCAGCTCAGGCCGCAGCATTGCAGTTGCTGATTCATACATGTGGTTGTAGAAGCAGGTCAACGATGACAGCATCTTAAAGTATGGACGTGCAGAATGGACTAGGGGCTTTCTGACCAGGATGTCCATCAACGGCTTCAGCGGAACGGCATTGTTTATCCTTGGTGCTCCAGGTGGGACTGGGGGTCGCTCAGGAAAGCGCAAACTCTAACTCTAACCCTGAACTCAAAGCCCCAACCCTACAGTGCCAGACTTCTGTCGACCGGGAGTGTGGGCTCAACATATAGCGACACCTTCACCCGGCAGCTACAGGACTGGGCCACTGGGTCATTTCTGAATTCTCCAGTCTGAATGCTTTTGAAAGCTTTAGTACTGATCTGACGGCTTTTGCTGAGGACCTGGCGGCCGCGTCTTCTCCTCCTGTTTAGTAAGGCCCTCACGGCTGCCCTGCAAGGACGACGGGGCATATGAAGTGTGCTCTTCCTACGTAAAATGACCGATGTATACACCCTGCAACTTTCCTGACGATCGCTTGCGGCCCTTGCTATCCACTCACAACGCCGGAGGTCACAATATTAGTGGTGAGCTCCAAGAGGATTTCGCATAGATTCTGCCCAGAGCCGTCTAGCCGAGTCTAGCCCACTAGCGCACTTGCGCCACAACTTGTACAGGGCTTACCGACTCAGCGTTCGTTCTTCCAACATGGCCTACCAAAGCCGTACTCGAAGCCTCAAGTCCCCGGACGTCTCATAGCATCACCTTTATTCTGAGTTCCCTGTCATCATGACTCTCTGGGGAGTGGATTAATCAATGGTTGCAATACCTCGTCAAGTTAATGGTAAGGACAAGCATTAGCGCTTCTTCTCATGGGTCGCTGGCCTGGTGGGATTGAAGTTCGCCTTCTTGTGGCCAATGCCAAACCTGAGAACAGGTGTTCAGGTTTCAGATTACCAGGCCTCGGTTATAGGGTTTGGGCAGGGTCTCACGGGCTTCTCTCCGTGCCGAGTTCGCCCCGCAGGTACCTTTACGGCTTCGGGTTTTGGGCTTTGCCTTTGAAAAGTCTGGGCTCCATGGGCTTCACGAAGACATTCGGATATCTTCTGAGAAGAAGCTCTGAATCGTTAGGTAAGCAGGAGCGAAACTCATGAAGAAGGAAACGCTCGAACCATGTAGATTTGTGATGCTCTTCTCTGGTTTCGACTCGTGAGAAGACCTTGACCTTGGCATCGTGATTCCTCTTTTCTTAGCCATTGCAGGAGGAGCGCAGTACTGTCAGAGCTCGAAAAAGAATTTGCACTGGCTCCGAAGCGCTTCAAACAGGGGGGGGTATGCCTTCACGCTTTGTTTGGTGGGTCCAGTCACCATTGAATGAAGCGCTCTGTTGGAAATCGGGCAACAGCGACAGGATTCTCCAAAGTCGAACGGGGACTGTCTCACATGCAGCTGAAGTGCCGGCTTTCCTTGGTCTCGTGGCTGATCTTCGTCCTGAACGAAAGACCAGACATCGACAGATATTCCGGCCGGAGAAGATTTGTACATGTGTGTATCTGTTTATTATCTGTTTGTGTATGCACACATAGACGTGCTCAGTGCAAATACGCACCAGGCATACATACCTACATAGATGCATACATACCATACCGTGTATACATACATACATACATACATACATACATACATACATACAGACACACAGACTTGCATATGTATGTATATATATATACACTCACACACACATGTAAGTCGCGTGTAATAACTTATGTTTGTATCCATGCATGCGTATGCGAACATTACCGATATGTTGAACATATTGTGGATGCTATACTTGTTATACCTATATACGCCCATACGTGTGTGTATATATATATATATATATGTGTGTGTACATGTACATATATAGATATATACATGCCATATGTACTGGCATACCTATACATATATACATACATGCATGCCTACATCATATACATGCCAGCATACACGCATATTGCATACCTTCCTCAGTTCTCGATCCGAAATATCTATACGTATGTATGAATGTAAGATCCTATGTACATGTGTACGTATGTGTGCATGCGTGTATGTCCATACAACATGTACAAGGTGCTCTGCGTGCTACTTGCCAGGTTGCAGCAGTTGCACACAGCTTCGCAACATTCTCTTTGCGGATCTTTATACGTGGGCGGGCGTGCAGGTGGGCGTGTCTGTCTGTCTGTCTGTCTTTCTTTGTCTCAGATGCATGTTGCATCTTACATACATGTATGTACAGACGTGAATCACGGCGCTCTTTCCTTGCAGTCCCACCTGCCCCTGCGGGCGTGCCCGTTTAGCGTTTTGTGACTCGGCACAGGGTCATATCGCTCTTCTTCTGCAGGGCATTAGACAGGAGCACAGCGCACCCCTGCCCTGTTGCGAAAGCTCTGGTCTGGCTTGGCACTCGCTGCTGCCTTCACCGCTCTGTCTCGCTCTCTGTCCGCCTGTCTCTCGCCGTGCGGCGCCTGTGTCTTTCCTTCTCTACTGGTAGCTCTGTGGATGCAGGGGCGTCTACTCTGTGAATGTGCCTTAAATTACAAGTTCCAGGGTGTGCCATTTTCGGCCAGTGTGCCGGCTGTTGAGCAATCCTCTGACAGAATGGAAATCCGGATCCTCATTGCTTCTGGTTAACACTTACATACACTTGAGGAGTCATGGAGGCCATGCAGAATGCACAAATAAAGGTTCTTAACAAGTTGAAGCAGTACAAACTCTTGCCGCAGTAGCATGATGTAACATGACTCTCGGCAGTCCTGGAATTGGAACACGTTGCTGGAAGAGTGACTTCTTCTGAAGCCATTCTTCCCTTCCTGCCGAGTCCACGTGAAGCACGCAGGCGCAGAGCTCCGGAACTGGCTCTGAGCAAGCTGTGCTCCGTGCATTGCAGGAAACAGCGAACAACATCAATCAGCCTTCTTGACGAAGCGCAAGTCGATATAATCGGCAAGCGTGTTCACCTCAAAGGGCTCAGGACGGGGAACAAACGGAAGAGCCTTCGCAATGCCAAATACATAGAGCAAGGACTTCACTCGTCCTCGTCCCCGGCAGTGAGCACCAAAGCGCGTAAACAAACAACCCTGAAACATCCAACAAAGACAGCCAATGCCCGTCTTCCCTCTACCACCACCTACCGATCAGTCTCAGGAGGAACAGCCGACCGATCACACAGAAATGCCATGCACAGGACGCCATCAAACTAGACAATGCTCAAACAGGAGACCAGTCGGAAAATACCAACAGCATAAACGTAACATGTATGCAACCATTGAGAACCAGCTGGCTAGACTTAGGTCCAACCATGCGGACGCGGAGAGATTGATGTAGGCTGTGTTGCCTGGTCTGTGTTCAACCAGGTTAGGCCCTAGGCCATAGCTCCGATAGGCTTCATCTAAGATCGGACGACGCCTACTGTAAGCCTCTGAAACTGACTCATAAAGCTGCGTGACAAACTGATTCATGTCCTCCTCGGAGTACGTGGTCAAGCCCAGCCTTAGCTCGCAAGGAGCTGCAGAAAGTGCTCAGACTGCAGTTCAGGAGGCAACTCGGCCGTTCAGCACTTGCTCGACATGGATCGTTAGCATTGTCAAAGGTCTGTAGAAAGTCGACAACCGGTAGTCGTCTTGTGCTAGCTTAAGTCCACCTTGAGGACTGCACCTAACCTCGATAGGCCAAAAATGCGAGGCTTCAACATGCGGGACGAAGGTCGGGGACAGGGCGGAACTCCCAAGCCAGTGCCATTAGTCTGTTGAGCGATCGCTAGTCCCGTGTGATGCCGCATGGCTTTTGAGAGCTTCCAAGAAACGCTTCCACAGTGTTGACCAACATCTTTCCTGGTGGAGTTATGCAGTAGCTGCTTCTGGGGGCAACAGATGTCAAGTGTTCGAGCCGGTGTCGCTAACGGGAAGGAGAAGCCCGCATACCTTTAGCAGATGATACTGAGTCATGTGGAGAAACACAGAGCTTGAAGTACGCCATCGAAGCCGGGAGACTGTATAGAGTCAAAACATACCGTTGGTCACCACAGTAGTGAGGGTAGAACAAAACGAACTGGACTGCAGGGCAAACGAACCTACAGTCGCCAAAGCCACGGTCCCTGATCCGCTGTCAATACTGCGACCTTGCTCTGAACCACATTCTGTAGTGTTACGGCGACAACAGCGACGACGACGACTACTGCTGCTCCACCCTCTATCATGAAAGGTTTCCCGAATTGGCTCAGTGATGACTCTTCTGGCGTTGGCCCCGGGTGAATCACTTGGCTGGCTCTGTATGCATAGAGAGGCATCATCCACCGTCACTCCGAAATCCATCTTTTGCGGAGCTTTGCTCCACCACCCGGAGCACTGACATCCCTCGCCCTCCTGTGATCAGCTTGTTCGAAGACATTGCGCCCAATCGCACTTGCAGTCTTTGTCGAACGCCGTGTAGTGCACCTTAGGGCGTGCGCGGTGCATCGTTTAGCCTCCTCAGCTATCCGCAGCCTCCTCAGACTCCATGATAACGTGCACCCATGCGAAGGCAGCTCTGGAAATCAACGTCCGAAAGCTGAAACTGTGTCAAATCTGCAAAGCTGCTCCTCATGCGACCTCTGGCTTCTAGCGTTTTTCTCCCGTGTCTGTTTTCTGACGCAACCCTGTGCAAACCAGCGGCTGTCACTGTCCTCGCGATGTAGCAATGGATCCCCATCGCCCGCGGCGACTTGGCTACCCACCTGCAAATGCTCGAGGCTTCGTAATTGCTAGAAAGCATTGATGGTGACTTCCACGCACCGTACCAGGAGGTTGAAGCCAGGTGACATTCTGAAATAACGAAGCTTAATTCAACCCACGTGACGAGTATCAGGTCTGCCGATTGTCGGGACTTTAGTGCTTCAAAACCTCATGCAGCGATATCGATTGCTCCAGGTTTGGGAAGTTGGGACGAGACCTTGGTAATCCTGTGTAGAGCCTTGCCTGGTGTACATGCCAGTCCAAGACTGCAATTTGATTGTCGGCATCCACTGTGTAGCAGAATCTTGTGCCAGCAATAAGTCAAAGTACAAAGCTCTGTATGACATACGAAAAACACAATTCCTTGCACGAGTATCCAGCCACAGGGGCGCAAAGCATTTCTAGACACCGCAGAGCTCCGCTCTGCGAATGCGGCAAGTTGCAAACGGCCTCTTGGTCTACGATACTCTCCCCCGCCGTGTTCTGCCGGGAAACCTCGGCTGCCGGCTCTTTTGCATAACATCATAACACGTACATCACCAAATGTCGTCACAACCTACATCCCATGCACTAGACTAGCATACAAGACTTCACGACTGATTTCAACAAAGGTAACCCGCCCGCCTAAAGTACAAATCAGTGAGAAGGTACGAGGAGGATCTCACACCTGATTGAATGTCGCTCATCTGAGCAGTCTTGCAATGGAGGGCAACCAATAGTGTCTGGGCCCGTGAACTGCGAAACACTCGCGTGGAAATCAGCTCTGAATCTACGACGTGCTAAGATGACGATGTCTGCCGGATGTCCGGCCCCTACCGCGCTCGAGGCGTGATCCGACATCGACATCCTCGTCCGCTAAAGGGGGTGGGTTGGTTCGGTGTCCACAACATGCTTTACTACTTTTGTACTACAATCGCGCGGCCCGGAACCCTGGAAGGCCCTCGGACCCTGACTGATCAGTCGGAAGACATCACAAGCACAGGATACTGTGTGACAGGCCTGAGCCACCCCACCCCTGTGCTTTACATACCGAACCTCCTCTGTAGCTCCGAGCAACCACTTGATCCGACATACTGGTGTCCTCTTCTAGCGGCTCCATGACCGAAGCGGCCTGCAGTGGAGTGCGAGCAGTGCTGGAGCAATAGCGGCTAGGCTAGGTCTTTCCAGGAGAAACAAAGTCGTTGTTGCTCCGGATCGTCCGGTCAACCCAGAGGTTTCTTACGATTCATCGTCCCTCAGCTCTGTCCAGGCCATCAGCACAAGCTCTGTTGCATGTAGCTGAAGAAGGCGTACCCTTCGAGGCACTCGCACGGACTCCAGCTCTGGATAAGTGGCGGTCTCGCAGATTGACAGGATGCCGAAAGCCCAGGAATGCAAGCGGCCCAATGCGCACATCGAAACTCAAGACCGAGAAGACCCCGTAGCTGCCTTGGGGGTTGGAGCCTTCGGCGATTCGCTGCCAGTTGACCGCGCATACAGCAGCTCCACTTGCCGACTCCTTGATTCGGGTTCGGTTCAGCAAGGAGGCTGCAAGTCAGTTTTCAAGTTCACGTTGGCTCGCCACCTTTGTCGGCTCAGCCCCATCATTTCCTCTGCTGCAGCCTGGCATCTCTTTGGGAGGAAGAAAGCTGTGGTCGTACCGCTCGACAACTTGGCCAGTTTCGAGCTCTCGTCTGGTGACTTCACCTCAGCGATCGAATTCGGCAGCTGCCCCCCCTAGTGGATTCTAGGCCACAAAAAGGGCTCGCATTTTGAAGTCCCTCGACTCCAACACATGACGGCAAGCAGTCGAATCATGCTGTCCAGGGGGCAAACTTTCGAGACCTGTCAGGGGTGCAGCTTCTGGGGCCAGGTCTGGGCGGGTCCCACGAAGGCTTCAGACCGGAGGATCCTGTGGGGGGTCGGGGCCCCACCTCTGCTTCGAGGCTCCTCACACGCGCCTTGAGCGCAGGAAGGGTCTCCTCAGCTCAGAGCATCCTTTGTCTCCCTGGAGTTGTGACGCCCCCCGGGCAACCTCAAGCGGCCCTACTCTGTCGCCGGCTCCTGAGGTGCCTCCAACAAGGCGGTTTCTGCGTAGGCCTGCCAGAGCCACAGATGCCACTATCAGCACGACTGAACAGGCCATATGCTACTTTGAAAAGTTGGCGATCGTCTGTGTCTGTGCCACAACAGACTGAACGGGTGAACTTCGGTACATGTGGAGTTGTGGGCTTTGCTTCTAGAATGGTCGAGTCTTTGTGCAACATAGATCTCGCAAGGAACATCGCATCCTCAGAGTGTCTGCTCGGGCCGGTGCCTCAAGCATCTGACTCCGGAAGATCTGCCACGATGCATCCTTTGTCCAGACCCGAAAGGCGACTGATAGACTGATAGTTGCCAATTGAGGTAGAACTATGATGTAGACACACGCAGAAAGAGCATGTGCCCGGACCTCTCAAAATGTTCGCCAAGATTCCAAAAACTTGGCGAAAATTATCTGCCGCTGGTTGGGGTCCAGCATGGTGCGATCACGAGCGAAGGTCGCACTTAGACTCTGCAGTAAAGAAGGGCGAATTGCCCACAAAAAGTGCTTCAGTTGTGAGTTGAAAGCTTTGGCGAAACTGTGCTATCAGCTCATGCCCAGAAGGCTCCCCTTGTCGAGCTGCCATTCGTGTGGTCTGTCACTTTGGTTTGTTTTCCAACATCATCGAAGTGCGCCTCCTCCTCTCACTGAACATCTGTTGCAAGAGTAGTGGCAGCTTCGAGTTCACCCTTTCATGTTCATTTCATATTCCATCATATCCCACTTGCAGTCAACACGCTGCACTTGAGCCAGCATTGCTTCAACACAGGAGCTCAACAGACTATCGAGCTCACTCAGCGGTGCTGTCGGCTCCGACGCCAGATCACTGTGGCGACGACAAGTGACTTAGATGTTGAAGTCTTCACCGTAGTGTGAGGGACTGTCGAATGCGTGATGTGCAGACACAAGCGTTTTAGCCTTACCATCTCAACTACGACAGCTCAGTCACCTGTCTGCATGGCTGGAAAAGCAAAACGAGAGCCGCTCATTTTTTGACACAATTTGGAAGTGCCCTTCTGAGAAGAGGCCAGCCGTGCCAAAGCGACACCTGAGTAACAGCACATTGAAGCTTTGACCGAGTATGGCTCGAAGATGTCCAAGGATCGAGGGCACACCGAACCGCCCCCATGCAGAATCCATGGCTCCAATGGCTCCTCTCCCAGACTCTCGGACCTGAAGATTTCGCTCACAGAGCCCCAATGTTAAACCTACTTGACGTTCTAGGACATCCTGGCGGTCTTCGACGGCTTCATCTACAAAGCTTGCTCCTGACTTCGCGGCGGAGTTGTGCATGAGTTCGAAGATGCAAAAAGGGACTTCATCTTCTGCCTTGACACCCTGCGGATCCCTTGGCTTTGCTGTACCAAGACTAAACAGTCCCCCCGGCGCTTGCAAATGGATGCGGGGCTGACTGGTCTCCGAAGAAGTTGAACACAATGGGCGCGTCCGTGTATTCGAAGACCCTGGTGTAGAAGTACGGGAGATACCTGAAGAACCATGATGCCAACGCGCGCTTCCGCAACTGCACAGGGCCATGAAGGAATTTCTGCAACTCCGTTCAGCAGATGCAGCAATGCGAGTGATGCATGATTAGGTCTTTGTCATAAGAACTCACCAGAGAAAGTATCATGAAGCCAAGACTCTTATTTTCGTCTTATCTCTCTGGGACCCAGGCGTATAGGGAGGGGCTTCTACCCCCATGGCAGCTTTCACAGCCTGCAGCACTTCAGACAGAGCATCCTAGCTGAGAGCATTCACAAACTTCGCTGTCTCGGAGACTTGAGTAGAAGAACAGACCATGCGAAACAGAAAGGAAGACCTTCAACAAGACGGCTTTTACTAGCCATGAAGCGCTAGGTTTAATTAGGCAGACTTTGAGGGCAAAAGGCATGGCTCCGCTAGGGAATCTCTTCAGGTACGGATCCGCATGCGTTTCTGCCGACAGTCATTTGACATCTGACTCGGATTCGGCGTTTCTCCTGGGTTTTGCAGTGCAGTCGCACCATTTCGTCGTCCCTCTATGCGGCCGTGACCTTAAACTAGTTATTCACGCTACTAAAGTCGCGGTGGCCAGGGCGAAGCAATGGAGCTGTTGCATCAGCTCCATCAGGGAAAGGTAAGGGAAGCAGGTGACTGGACAAGAAATCAAGGGGAATGTCCCACTTTCGTTCATTAAGCCGGATGCTTTTTGCAACCGCCACCTGTGATGACATTTCAACTCGGGCTGCTTGATGCTCAAACCTTGTAAGGATTCTGAACCCTTCAACATGCTGAAAACCACCACTTTCTGCGCAAGAATAAGCTCTTCTTGTCTGACAGTTTCAACGTGCATAAGCCACTTCATTTCCACAAGGCCTTTGTTGTGTGCTAACCACGTTTCAGAAAGAAGAGGGTATCACGCGAAAACACCACGAGCTTGAGCCTGGTGCTTTGCATATAAGCAAACATACAAGAACTATGTGGGGAGCTGCCATTTTGTCGGGAGTAATGCAACGACAACGGAGGGAAGACATCACCCAAATTCCTCTGTATGTAAATGATTGCATATGTATGTATGCATCTGTAAGTGAGTAAGCATGTATGTATGCATGCATGTGTGTAGGTATGTATGTCTTTACGTATGTACGTATGTATGTATGTATGTATGTATGCAGGAATGCATGTATGTGTGTATGTATGTAGGTATGCAGGTATGTATGTATGTATGTATGTATGTATGCATCTGTGTTTTTAGGTCTGTATGCATGTATGCATATAAACGCACACATCGTGCAGTGCATGCATGAATACGTTCGTACATACATACATACATACATACATACATACATACATACACGCATAAATACATACATACGTTACGCACATACCCTGCACATCACCCTACTTACCTCCACACGTACATGCATGCATACATACATACAGACAGGCAGGCAAACATATATATATATATACACGGTATATACGCTTACATCATACATACATTGATAGTACATACATACATACATACATACATACATACATACATACATACTTACTTACACAAATACATACATACACATATACATGTACAGATATACATACCTACATAAAAATAGATATAAGTATATACACACACATATATATATATATACACATGTGTACATATATGTACACATGTATATACGTACATATACACACACATATATATATATATATATATATATATATGTGTATATATATATATACACAGTGCTATGATTGTACACGATATCTTGTAGTACACAAGCTGCAAGCAGGATCGCGCCTGTGATGCCGACTTCCGGGCATGGTCGACCTGAAGCAGCAGGGGGGTTAGCTGCACCTGGACACGAAATATTTACGTCACTTAGCCGTATTAACTCAGGCGGGGAGGAACAAACACGAACATATCATCATGTGTTTTGTTGATGGGTTCCTTTCCCATTCGTCAAGTTTACAACATTAAGGAACCGCATCAAGGCTGAACCACAGGCGACCGGGCGTGGAAGATTGCCAATTGCTCCCAACTCCCCACTCCCCGGAAGACGGTTTATCAGCGACCGGGTGACTCATCTGCAACCACGAATCCAGCGCACCGGGCTTTCTCAAGTCTGATGCAATCAGGCCACGTTCTCACACCGCATGAGGCCACCGTACTTGGAAGGGAAAGTCGCGATATCACCTGTCAGGGGGGTAAGCCAATCAGCCAAATCCCAGGTAGAAGCTTCAAGCTCCTGCTCGTGAGGTTGGGGACATCTTCAACAGATGGCAACAGCGACTGGCCGCCGTGATCAAGCACAATCGAAGCCCCGAGTCCCCAGGACCCTTCTGAGTTTCGCTTCGCAAGACAGCGATCGCCATCTAGGCCCATGGCCGACCGCGTAAACGCCGGGCGTGGACGTCTGCCTCAGCTCCCCGTCTCATGATCGTAAGGAAAAGACAGCACGCACAACTGGACACAACTAATAAACATGTGCCTCCTGACAGCTTGACTAAGATGAAGTCGGCGCCCGTTTCACGCTGCCCTGGGCCCTGGCCTTTGTAGGCCCAGTCTGGGGACCTCACATGTTGGCGTCGACGACGATGCCCCGTTGCTCAAGCTTTAGCCTGGAGGAGTCAGAGTGCTCTCCATCGTGGCACGACAAACAGGCAAGGCAACCTCAACCTCATTTTCACCGTCCGAGAGGAACAGCTGACACACCCAACTCACACCGACTTGAGCATTCGGGATGGTTGTTCAATGCTGCATGCGGCTCTCGTAACTCTCGCACTAGACTCTAGACTAGCCAAACTTTGCGAGCGACTTTGCGAGCCTCAAATTGCGGACGCAAGTCGGCGTTCGGTGAGCTTCATCTTGAGCTCAGCTCTGCAAGAGGCTCGCTTTGCTGCTGGGATAGAACTGCCAAATGTCCCAGTACGAGGCGGCAATTTAAATGCTTGAAACTGCATGTTGGAGAAGCCATTAAATGCATGCAAGGACATTGGAAGCCGGATGGAAGCCCCTGGCGATGGGATGTGATATCTTCACATCATGCTGCGTCAACCAACAAACTGAGGAATGCGAACCTCCCAAGGGCTGCAGTGTCAAACAACAATGCAAGCGGATAATGTTGGAAAGCAGAGAGCTGCCCAAGTCAGATTGATAAAGAAAGGAGAACTCGATGTTGACTGTGATCCGATGTCACAGCTGTAAACCAATAGAATCCAGCAAGAGCAGGGGCTGGCAGTCTGGAGCCATGCACTTTTCTGAAGCCACACCCACCCAGCATGCATCAGCATGCCTTGCGGCGAAACGCGTATGCATCCACTTGGCGAAACATGGAAGCCCCGGCGATAGAATGTGATGTCTTCACATCATACCGCATCAGGCAGCAAACTGAAGAATGCGAACCTCCCAAACGGAACAAAGGAGAACGCGATGTTGACTTTGATCGGATGTCACAGGTGTACAAGCAAACAGAATCCACCAGGCTGGTTGCTGCCGACTGCAGAGTCCCAGATGACACTTTTGTTACACGGCGGCGCATGATCCATGGACAAAGTGGCAGTCTGCAGACGTTCT